CAGGCCTAGGCCCTTCCTCATGTGTCCAGGTCAAGAGAGCATCTCTACATATTAAGACCTTACATATTTAATACAGTGCGTTACCCCTGTGCAAATGGAAAAAAATTAAGTTCAACATTTCTAGACCAATATGGCTGTTAATTTTTGTACAATACCAACTCTTATTTAATGCTTCACTGCAATGTTGGAAAAATGATGACATATGGTGAATATATACATGCTTAACATGGGCTAGTGAAGAAATGGAAATGTGCACATGGAATTCCTCAGGGTTTTAAAATTAAGATTTAATATAATAATTGAACAAAATTAAATAAGTCTGTTATTTGTTTGAAAGGGCAAATAAATATATATGCTCATTCATTGGCTTCTCTATCTGACTGTCTTTCAGTCAACCCTAGTAAGTATTTATTGAGTACCTTTTGTCTCATCATTCATCCCCTCCATTTTCCCATCCTTTCATCCTCCAATCTGATTATCCCTAAGTCAGTCCAAGTGAGTATTTATTGAGGAGCTTGTGCAAGCCCACGTTATCCCAGATGGAAAAACAGCAAAACTAGGTAAATTATGCAACCTTTGTTGAATTTATTCTTTATATACCGAAGAAATAGAGAAAATAAATAATTACTAACTTCATTTGCATAACATTTGCTTGATCATATTTTCCCAAGAAAAATATTTATGAAAACTACCTCATAGAGTTCTTTTGTTGCTTAGGAAGGCAACTATTCTTTTCTTTTTTTGGTTTTGCGAGAGCCACAGGGTTTCTCTGTGGCTTTAGAGGCTGTCCTGGAACTAGCTCTTGTAGACCAGGCTGGTCTCAAACTCACAGGATCCACCTGCCTTTGCCTCCCAAGTGCTGGGATTAAAGTGTGCCACCAATACCTGGCAGAAAGGCAACTATTGTTGTCATTATTTCTTTACCAGCTTATCACAAAGGCCTACATTATTACTAAGTTACTAATAAATACCCAGTAAGCTACTCTTACTATTTTCACTTATTGTGTCCTATGCAATGATTTGGGTTTATAAGGTATTACTAGCCTGTGATGAAATAAATATAAAATCTGCAAATATTTAGAAATTCATTTTATAATATATTTAAAGTACTAATTTGCAGTGAGTTTATATGAAGAGCACTTTCCTAAATGAAACTTTCTCTCCAAAGAGGTCAGATGATAAGGAATCAAGGAGCAATGTGAACAGGATAAAACACATTTTAAATGCTGTAGATATCTAGCAGTCTTTTCTGTGGCCAATTAATGATCTCAGGGAGCCAAACCTTTTTTTTTTTTAATTTATTTATTTGTTCCAGTTAGGGAACAAGCTTGTTCACATGTAAGTCCCTTCTCCCTCTCCCTCCCCTCATCCCCATCCCTCCTCCCCCACCACACACCCCCCCACCCCCCCCAAACCCCCACCCCACCCACCCACACACACACACACACACACGCACATGCACGCGCAGGCGCACGCGCACACACACACACACACACCACACACACACACACACACACACACACACACCACACACACCACCCTGGTCGATGTGCTCTCCCTTGTTCAGGCCAACTGTTGCTGTTTGTTTCTCCAACATGGTACAGACCCCCTTGTTCTTCATTCCTCCTTCTCTTCAACTAAATTCCAGATTTCAACTCAGTGTATATCTGTGGATGTCTGTCTCTGCTTCCATCAGCCACTGGATGAGGGCTCTAGGATGGCATAAAGAGAAGTCATCAATCTCATTTTAGGGGCAGGGCTTTTAGGTTATCCTCTCCACCATTGCCTGGATTGTCAGATCGATCGTGCCATCCTTGTAGGTCTCTGGAGATTTCCCTGGTTCCAGATCTCTTTTCGGACCTATAGTGGCTCCCTCTGATATGGTATCTCTCATCCTGCTCTCTCTCCTCTATTCTTCCCCCAACTCAATATTTCTGCCCCTCCATTTCCTCTCCTCTACTCCTCTTCTCTTGCTTTTATTGTAGCAGCTCCCTCCCCCCTACCCTCATGCTCCCAATTAGTTTAGGAGTTCATGCCACTTCCATTCCTGGGGACCATTTATCCCTTAGAGTCAGGATGGCTTTCTTGATGGCAGTGCAGGGTATCACATGACAAAAGACAGGTGCCATAAGTGTTGTGTTGTGCGTGCGTGCGTGCGTGCGTGCGTGCGTGGGTGGGGGGGGG